GGCGTTTCTGGTTTGAACTGACTACGTTCCCAGCCCCCCCGCCTTGGGCCGCGCACATGCCGCTGGCCATGATTTGCGCCCCCCCCTGTTGGACGCCCCCTTCTTGGACGCCCCCGATCTAGGCCTCCTAGACGGGGGCGGAGCAGATTGGGTCGGAGGATCGCGCCGCATCGCCGATGCATCGGCGATGCGGCTCGATGCGGAGCCTGAGTTTCGCAGCGTTGGCGTCGCCGATACACCGCCGACGTCGGCGATGCATCGCCGATGCATCGCCGATGCGCCGCGCTGGCGGTGCGGCGCGATCCTTCGACCCCATCTGCTCGGACCCCATCGATGGGGCCCAGAAGGACGAGGTGCCTGGAAACAATGAACGATCCACCCTGGGATCCCTTCCGATCCACAACTCCTTTTTTCTGGACTCAACGCGTGTACAGCAAATGCGTGCTGCTAGCACGGCCCCTTACGGGGCCTCTGAGGGAAAAAACGGCTGCGGAGTTTGGGAAGGCTTGCTGCAAACCCGTCTCTCCCGCCTGTGCTACACTGTGTATGCCACTACGTACGCAATCCATTCAGACTGATCTTCGCATGATGCTCGGAGCAACGTCGCCTGCACCATTGGATCTCCTCAACGATGAAAAGGGCGATCCGCCCTGGCATCCCTTCCGATCCCTGGGCCCCCGTCCCTCAAAGGCCCCGGGCCCGAGCCGCCGGCACGGTCTCCGGCGGCCTCGGGCAGCCACGCGGAGCGGAGTCCTCCCCATGTGGCGCGCCACGCGCCACTCCACAGGGAGAGCCCCCCCCCCCCCGCAGGACGTCGAGAGGTCGTGCGTCGGCCTCGCTCGGCGGGCGCGGGCCGTGGCGCCCCGCCCGGCGTGGGCGCCTCGTCTCGATCCCCCTTCCCGTGCGGCCCTGCCCGCCCGGAGTGGGGGGCCACGGGGGTGCGACAGGTCCTCGTGCTCGTCTTGCGGGAGGCGTCGTCGCCCGCGGCGGGCTGCTCGATCTTTGGAGCGGCGCACCCGTTGAAAGGATGTCTTCGTCGTGGAGGGGGGCGGCCGCTCTGTCCGGCATCTCGCCCCGCCACCCTGCCACGGTTTTGCAGCTCGGAGGCCTCTTCGATACACATACGGTGCCCGAGGATGTCTCTTACAGGGCGCCTGAGGGCCCATTGGGTGGGGGCGTCCTGGGACTCTGGGGGTCCCTTTGGGGGGAGAGGGGCCTCTTCACGGCGACTCGGGGGGGGATTTGGGGGGCATCTTAAGGTGGCAGGATCAAAAGGTCAGTTCGTGTTCTCCCCCTTTGCTGTCCCCGGCGGTCTTGGGGGCCTCTTGGATCGTTTCGGATAGGACCGAAACGGCCAGAATGCGACATGCATACGAAGCCGAAGGGGATGCGACAGATCTTTGCATAGTAGGTGAGCTCTCTAGGCCTCCAAGGCAGCCCAAGAGGCGCCCAAGAGGTCTCCAGGACTGTCCGTACCCATTTTGGCTCAAGGGCACGGATCGCCGATCGATCGCTTTTTTAGCGTCGTTCGGCGATGTATCACTTCGTGAGGACCATGACTGGGAAGAACATCGGAACCCGCCCGCAGGATAGCGACGCAGAAGCTGCGGTCCCTCCAGATCAGCAACTTTTTTTCCGTGCAGGCAGGCATGCCAAGGGTGACTTGGTTGTTAGTTTGCAAAGCGGATTACGTATGAGGAGGCATTTATGTTGTTCTTTCTCTGGCGGACGGGTCGCCAGTGTTGCCGCAGTGGTTGTTACTCTGGTCGTGACCATTGTCTTCAGTGTGGTAGCCGTTCGCAAACGGAGTGTTTCTCGTACCGAGCCAGTCAGGTCCAACATACTTAGTCTCACGGAAGGTTCCAGCCTTGGAGCAGCAGTGTGCGTCTTGGGCCAAGCGACGCGGTTGGAGATTGAGAGTAAGATACAGAACATTATCGATCCGCTCGCCAATGTTACACATGTAGATGTTTTCTTGTCTCTGGAGATTGGCGATCACGCAGTCTTCAACAACCCTATAACGGTTGATGTCGACGGCGCTAAATGCCGCGGATCGGAGTTGGATGTGGATGGGTTGAAGGAAGCGTTTGCGCCGTATTTCAGAGACGGAGTGTTCGGGCCACACGTGGACGAGAACGTCACTTTGGAGCGGTGGCCGAAGCTGTACAAGAGACAGCACCCCGATGACGACGCAAAGCGGAAGACTCATATTGCCAACGTCGCCAGCCAGTTGAGGCACCAGAAGGATTGCGCGGAGCTTATTCAAAAGAGCGAGGAGTCTGCAGGCGGTAAATACGACATTGTGGTGAAGGTCCGTGACAACACCATCGCGTTGCGGCCTGTGGCGCCAGACAAGCTGTTATCAATCACAGAAGTCGTCCTCAAGCATTGCAATTGGTGGGGTGGCGTTCACGATAAAGTCATGGCCCTCCCACGCAAGTATCTCGAGAAGAGTTTGGGTGCCGCATATGGTGCCATGCAAGCCGTCATGTACGATGATCCCCTGCCACGTCGGCTATATGCAATGTCACATCACTCCCACAATACGGAGCAAATTGTTATGTATACGCTCGCATCAAATCTAGTTCCTTTTGTTGAAAAGAATTTCGAGATAGGAGACCGAGATGGTGGCGATTATTTGCCATTCGTGGACGGCAGGTGCTATCCTGGCAAGGAGCCTGGAGACGAAGGTCGCTGGTGCATCGTTTCTCACTGCAAGGACTGCTGGCCGAGCATGCCCTGGACATACAACGTCTCCTGCGAGGTAGCTAGGACTGGTCTGGAGGTTAGCAGTTATCAGCCAAATCTGTCCTCGCAGTTCGACACGTCTTTTGATGAGCAGACGCTCGCAGATCCCGACCCGACGCGGGAGTGCGCGAATCCCCTCTTCAGGTGACAGGGCGCGTGCCGTGGAACTTGGAGGCCGAGGTGTGGCGATGCGTGGCGTTGCGGCGAGGGTGCGCAAGGGCTACCGCTCCAGCTGCGCCCCTGCCTCGTGCATGAAGCTGTGAGTGTTGCGTGTTCCAGGCGTCGCTGCTGCAAGACATTGCACGTTAGGTTGGTTCTCTAGGTGCATGGGGTCACACGGGAGCCGGAGGAACTTCTGCGAACCTCTTCGACCAGCCTCGCAAAGCCGAGCGCCGAACTGGAAGCGATTGATCCAGCAGCACCTCCAAAAAAAAAAGAGGTCTCCAGGAATGTCCCTGGGAACAGGCCATACTAGAAACACATGTCTCTGACTACTACGCCGCTGTGGCTTCTGGAAAAAGCACGCGGCTGGTTCCGAAAATCTGCGAGAATGTTCAGGATTTGGGCCTCTGGGCCCCAGTATTGAGGCTTCATTAGTCGATTAGTCTAGGACTTGAGGGCACTTCATTTCGTGCCTCAGTGGCGGATCTTACATGGCCAGAAGCTTGGGTGCTGCCTGCGGTGAGCCCCTCAAACATCAGTGGATTAGTGTAGTGATCGACGACATTCGATCATGTAAGCGACGTCGGCGCGCGGACACTAACAAGGCCAGGATTCGGCCTGGGCAACCGCCAGTGCCAACGCGCGGAAGGGTTCGAGAGCCCAGGGGCTAGCGACTCGACGCAGTCGGTCGTCGGAGGTCGAGTGCACTGGACACCTTGCCCCACGGGGAGAAGGAGGAGGAGGAGGAGGAGGAGGAGGAGGAGGAGGAGGAGGAGGAGGAGGAGGAGGAGGAGAGAAGAAGAGGGCGGAGGGAGGCCTTCTCCTGCCTCCCGCCCCCCCTCCTCCCTCGAGGGGGGGGGGGGGGGGCGAGCACGGTTGGTGGTTCTCAAAGATGGGGTCCTGAGGCCTAGGCCTCCCAGATGGGGCTGTCTTGGAGGCCTAGGCTTTGGAGGCCTAGATGGGGCTGACTTGGAGGTCTTGGAGGTCTTGGGGCTGTCTTGGAGGCCTGTGGGGGGGGGCGAACACGGTCGGTGGTTCTCAAGGATGGGGTCCTGAGGTCCAGTCGGGGGCGGCAAAGGAGGGGGGTGATGACTAGCGGGGAAAGGTGGATATCATGGCCAGGGCCAGGATATCTCCCCAGACTTCATGGCGTTTCTGGTTTGAACTGACTACGTTCCCAGCCCCCCCGCCTTGGGCCGCGCACATGCCGCTGGCCATGATTTGCGCCCCCCCCTGTTGGACGCCCCCTTCTTGGACGCCCCCGATCTAGGCCTCCTAGACGGGGGCGGAGCAGATTGGGTCGGAGGATCGCGCCGCATCGCCGATGCATCGGCGATGCGGCTCGATGCGGAGCCTGAGTTTCGCAGCGTTGGCGTCGCCGATACACCGCCGACGTCGGCGATGCATCGCCGATGCATCGCCGATGCGCTGGCGGTGCGGCGCGATCCTTCGACCCCATCTGCTCGGACCCCATCGATGGGGCCCAGAAGGACGAGGTGCCTGGAAACAATGAACGATCCACCCTGGGATCCCTTCCGATCCACAACTCCTTTTTTCTGGACTCAACGCGTGTACAGCAAATGCGTGCTGCTAGCACGGCCCCTTACGGGGCCTCTGAGGGAAAAAACGGCTGCGGAGTTTGGGAAGGCTTGCTGCAAACCCGTCTCTCCCGCCTGTGCTACACTGTGTATGCCACTACGTACGCAATCCATTCAGACTGATCTTCGCATGATGCTCGGAGCAACGTCGCCTGCACCATTGGATCTCCTCAACGATGAAAAGGGCGATCCGCCCTGGCATCCCTTCCGATCCCTGGGCCCCCGTCCCTCAAAGGCCCCGGGCCCGAGCCGCCGGCACGGTCTCCGGCGGCCTCGGGCAGCCACGCGGAGCGGAGTCCTCCCCATGTGGCGCGCCACGCGCCACTCCACAGGGAGAGCCCCCCCCCCCCCGCAGGACGTCGAGAGGTCGTGCGTCGGCCTCGCTCGGCGGGCGCGGGCCGTGGCGCCCCGCCCGGCGTGGGCGCCTCGTCTCGATCCCCCTTCCCGTGCGGCCCTGCCCGCCCGGAGTGGGGGGCCACGGGGGTGCGACAGGTCCTCGTGCTCGTCTTGCGGGAGGCGTCGTCGCCCGCGGCGGGCTGCTCGATCTTTGGAGCGGCGCACCCGTTGAAAGGATGTCTTCGTCGTGGAGGGGGGCGGCCGCTCTGTCCGGCATCTCGCCCCGCCACCCTGCCACGGTTTTGCAGCTCGGAGGCCTCTTCGATACACATACGGTGCCCGAGGATGTCTCTTACAGGGCGCCTGAGGGCCCGTTGGGTGGGGGCGTCCTGGGACTCTGGGGGTCCCTTTGGGGGGAGAGGGGCCTCTTCACGGCGACTCGGGGGGGGATTTGGGGGGCATCTTAAGGTGGCAGGATCAAAAGGTCAGTTCGTGTTCTCCCCCTTTGCTGTCCCCGGCGGTCTTGGGGGCCTCTTGGATCGTTTCGGATAGGACCGAAACGGCCAGAATGCGACATGCATACGAAGCCGAAGGTGATGCGACAGATCTTTGCATAGTAGGTGAGCTCTCTAGGCCTCCAAGGCAGCCCAAGAGGCGCCCAAGAGGTCTCCAGGACTGTCCGTACCCATTTTGGCTCAAGGGCACGGATCGCCGATCGATCGCTTTTTTAGCGTCGTTCGGCGATGTATCACTTCGTGAGGACCATGACTGGGAAGAACATCGGAACCCGCCCGCAGGATAGCGACGCAGAAGCTGCGGTCCCTCCAGATCAGCAACTTTTTTTCCGTGCAGGCAGGCATGCCAAGGGTGACTTGGTTGTTAGTTTGCAAAGCGGATTACGTATGAGGAGGCATTTATGTTGTTCTTTCTCTGGCGGACGGGTCGCCAGTGTTGCCGCAGTGGTTGTTACTCTGGTCGTGACCATTGTCTTCAGTGTGGTAGCCGTTCGCAAACGGAGTGTTTCTCGTACCGAGCCAGTCAGGTCCAACATACTTAGTCTCACGGAAGGTTCCAGCCTTGGAGCAGCAGTGTGCGTCTTGGGCCAAGCGACGCGGTTGGAGATTGAGAGTAAGATACAGAACATTATCGATCCGCTCGCCAATGTTACACATGTAGATGTTTTCTTGTCTCTGGAGATTGGCGATCACGCAGTCTTCAACAACCCTATAACGGTTGATGTCGACGGCGCTAAATGCCGCGGATCGGAGTTGGATGTGGATGGGTTGAAGGAAGCGTTTGCGCCGTATTTCAGAGACGGAGTGTTCGGGCCACACGTGGACGAGAACGTCACTTTGGAGCGGTGGCCGAAGCTGTACAAGAGACAGCACCCCGATGACGACGCAAAGCGGAAGACTCATATTGCCAACGTCGCCAGCCAGTTGAGGCACCAGAAGGATTGCGCGGAGCTTATTCAAAAGAGCGAGGAGTCTGCAGGCGGTAAATACGACATTGTGGTGAAGGTCCGTGACAACACCATCGCGTTGCGGCCTGTGGCGCCAGACAAGCTGTTATCAATCACAGAAGTCGTCCTCAAGCATTGCAATTGGTGGGGTGGCGTTCACGATAAAGTCATGGCCCTCCCACGCAAGTATCTCGAGAAGAGTTTGGGTGCCGCATATGGTGCCATGCAAGCCGTCATGTACGATGATCCCCTGCCACGTCGGCTATATGCAATGTCACATCACTCCCACAATACGGAGCAAATTGTTATGTATACGCTCGCATCAAATCTAGTTCCTTTTGTTGAAAAGAATTTCGAGATAGGAGACCGAGATGGTGGCGATTATTTGCCATTCGTGGACGGCAGGTGCTATCCTGGCAAGGAGCCTGGAGACGAAGGTCGCTGGTGCATCGTTTCTCACTGCAAGGACTGCTGGCCGAGCATGCCCTGGACATACAACGTCTCCTGCGAGGTAGCTAGGACTGGTCTGGAGGTTAGCAGTTATCAGCCAAATCTGTCCTCGCAGTTCGACACGTCTTTTGATGAGCAGACGCTCGCAGATCCCGACCCGACGCGGGAGTGCGCGAATCCCCTCTTCAGGTGACAGGGCGCGTGCCGTGGAACTTGGAGGCCGAGGTGTGGCGATGCGTGGCGTTGCGGCGAGGGTGCGCAAGGGCTACCGCTCCAGCTGCGCCCCTGCCTCGTGCATGAAGCTGTGAGTGTTGCGTGTTCCAGGCGTCGCTGCTGCAAGACATTGCACGTTAGGTTGGTTCTCTAGGTGCATGGGGTCACACGGGAGCCGGAGGAACTTCTGCGAACCTCTTCGACCAGCCTCGCAAAGCCGAGCGCCGAACTGGAAGCGATTGATCCAGCAGCACCTCCAAAAAAAAAAAGAGGTCTCCAGGAATGTCCTTGGGAACAGGCCATACTAGAAACACATGTCTCTGACTACTACGCCGCTGTGGCTTCTGGAAAAAGCACGCGGCTGGTTCCGAAAATCTGCGAGAATGTTCAGGATTTGGGCCTCTGGGCCCCAGTATTGAGGCTTCATTAGTCGATTAGTCTAGGACTTGAGGGCACTTCATTTCGTGCCTCAGTGGCGGATCTTACATGGCCAGAAGCTTGGGTGCTGCCTGCGGTGAGCCCCTCAAACATCAGTGGATTAGTGTAGTGATCGACGACATTCGATCATGTAAGCGACGTCGGCGCGCGGACACTAACAAGGCCAGGATTCGGCCTGGGCAACCGCCAGTGCCAACGCGCGGAAGGGTTCGAGAGCCCAGGGGCTAGCGACTCGACGCAGTCGGTCGTCGGAGGTCGAGTGCACTGGACACCTTGCCCCACGGGGAGGAGGAGGAGGAGGAGGAGGAGGAGGAGGAGGAGGAGGAGGAGGAGGAGGAGGAGGAGGAGGAGGAGGAGGAGGGGAGGGGGAGGGGGAGGGGGAGGAGGAGGAGAAGCTCGTGGCCCCCACCCGTAGGGCCATCGGTCCTCACCCCTGGGAGGAGTCCCTGACAGCCGCCTTCGCCGTGTCGTTCAACGTCTTGTGGCTGCTCTCGCTCTCCAGCTACCTCAGGACCTCCGTGCCCGCCGGTCGCCTTTCGCGGCATCGACACGGTCGGACCACTGGGATTGGCCGGCCTTGGTTCTCCTTTGGACAAGCGATGGCTGGCTTGGGCCGTTGCGTCTTGGTGGCAACGATCCGAGAAGAAATTGTTGACGCTTCGCGACTCCCCACCAGCCCATCCAGAAACGATGCCCAGAGAAATTGCCTCGATCAGGGAAGTGGGCAGCACACAGAGGTAGCCATTAGGAGACATCTTGGGATATCTTGAGCCATCTTGGAGATCATTTTGGGCTCTCCCAGGCGCTCTTGGAGTCATCTTAATCAGTGACCCCCCCCAAGGGGCCCACAATGTGGCTAAAACCTTCGTAAAATCAATGATTTGGCATTATCGCCGAGGCCTCTTGGAGCATCTTGGGTGCCTCTGGGGGGTCTCTTGGGGCCTCTTAGGGGTCTCTTGGGGGCCTCCTGGGGGCCCCTTGGGGGCCTCTTGGGGCCATCTTGGGACCTCTTGGGACCTCTTGGGGCCTCCTGGGCGCTTCTTGGGGCCATCTTGGAGGAGACCGATCAAACAAGAGGGGAGCTTCAATTAGGGTCCCCCCCCCAGGAAGCCAAAATGGGGTTAAAACCCTAGTCAAATCAATGATTTTCGCTTCCTCGCCGAGGCCGTTTTGGACGCCCTGACACCTCGCGACCCCCCCCGTCCAGGTCCATGTGTAGGGGGTAGGGGAAGGGGTAAACCCCTCCCCGAAGGGGAAGAAGGAGGGGTGGAAGAGGAAACGCTCTAAACCACCGACGCCCAGAGGGCTGGTGGGATTGTTCGGAGCGCAGCTCTCGATAAGGTAAGAGGTCAGGCCCTGGTGCTGCAGCAGCGCGCATCGGCGAGGACCAAGATGCGCAAGACAGTTGGGATCGGTAGAGACTCGAGAGTATGATGCAGCGCTTGGGTGTGGCAAAGATTACCCCCACCCTCAACCCTCATCCCTTACTCTACCTCCTTCCCCCTCCGCCAGCCCGGGGCGCCAGGCCTGTCATTCCTCCTCATCGTCATCCTCATCATCATCATGATCGTTTTCCTCCTCCTCCTCCTCCTCCCTCTCTTTCCCTCCTCCTCTTCCCCCTCCTCACCCTCCTCCTCCTCCTCCTCCTCCTCCTCTTCCTCCTCCTGCGGGGAGGAAGAGGAGGAGGAGGAGGAGGAGGAGGAGGAGGAGCAGGAGGAGGAGGAAGAGGAGGATGAGGAGGATGAGGAGGAGGATCGAGGCCTCCTAGATGGGGTCGGAGTAGATGCGGTCGGAGGATCGCGCCGCATCGCCGATGCATCGCAGATGCATCGCCAACGTTGACGATGCATCGCCGTTGCATCGCCGATGCATCGACGATGCGGCGCGATCCTCCGACCATCTAGGAGGCCTCTAGAGGAGGAGCAGGAGCAGGAGCAGGAGGAGGAGGAGGAAGGAGAGGAAGAGAAGGGGGACGAGGGAGGAGGAGGAGGAGGAGGAGGAGGAGGAGGAGGAGGTCTTCCTTCCTTCTCATCCTTTACCTTTTCTTTGCTCGGCGGCGCGCCGACGGTGGCAAGGCAGTGTGGCAGAGCCTCTCCAGAAAAGCCAGCGGGGCTCCTCGGAAGCCCTCCCGCCTCACGTTGTGAGAAGCCTTCGGTGGCTGCGTCGAAGGCTTGGAGAGCTTCTCAGAAGGCCGGAGGCCTTCTGAGCCTTCGGAGGTGGGCGTCGCGTAATGGGGAGGGCGATCAATGAGGGGGGCAGCGAGGGCTGCAGAAAAGGGATCCTCTAGGGCTTCTCGGAAGCCCTCCCGCCTCTTTAGAAGCCCTCTGCGGCCCCAGAGAAGGCTTGGAGCTTCTCAGAAGGCCGTAGGCCTTGCCATTGAAGGGGCCCTAAGAGGGCCCCTCAAGGGAGCCTCTAGGGCCCGAAAAGTGCATCTTCCCCATCATTTTCCGCACCCCGCAATACGCGACGCCCAACTGAGGAGATGAGGATCTAGGTCTCCTAGATAGGGTCCGAGTGGATGGGGTCGGAGGATCGCGCCGCATCGCTGGTGCATCGCCGATAAGGCTCGATGTGGAGCATGGTTATCTCCATGCCGACGTCGCCTATGCATGGGCGACGTCTCCAGCGCGATCCTCCGACCCCATCTGCCCGGACCCCACCTGGGAGGCCTCTAGAGGAAGCCCACCCCCTCTGCTTTCGCTCCTGGGCGCGCCAGTAGGGCGTGGCAGTTCCAAGAACCCGCCCTGGAAAACTCCCTCTCAATGGATGGGAGGGGGGTCCCCCCAGGACCCCTCAAGGAAGTTTTTGGAACGGCTTGCAGTAGGAGTGCTGGTGGATTTTCACCCCATGACCCCCCCTCAAGGAGTGGTTTTGGAGGGATCAGGGGGGCACGGTGGGTTTTCCCCAAGGACCCCCCCCCTTCAAGAAGGGTTTTGTGAGGGACCAGGGGGGGTCCCCCTGGGACCCCACCCTCAAGGGGTGTGCTTGGTGGGGTCAGACAGAAAGGGTTGGTGGGTTCTCCCCTCAAGAGCTCCCCAAAGAGCATGTTTTTCTGCGAGGAGTTAGGGGTGGTGGTGGTGGTGGGTGAGCTTTCCCCCCAGGAACACTCTCTCAAGGGAAGTTGTTTGGGGAGGGGGAGGGACTGTCCCCCCAGGAACCCCTTCCTCAAGAGGGGGCGGTGGGGGGGTTAAGGGGGGAGTTGGTGGGTTTTCCCCAGGAGCTCCCCCTCAAGGGGGTTGGTTGGGGGGGTTCGGCGGAGTGGTGGGTCTCCTCAGGAGCACCCCCATCAAGGGTTTTGTTGCAGGGTCAGGGGAGGTTGCTGGCGTTCCCCCACCGGTCCCTCCCCTCAAGTAAGGTGTTTGGTTTGGGTTTTTCTCCAGGATCCCACCCTAAAGGGGGGTTCTTGGGGGGGTAAGGGAGGGGTGCCGGGTTTTCCCCACGGGAACCCCGCCCCAACTTGAGTTTCTGACGGTTTCTGGGGTGGTGGTAGGTTTTTTCCCAGGAACCCATTTCGAAGGCAAGTTCTTGGAGGAGCTCGGGGGAGTTATTGGGTTCCTCCCCCATAGAACCTTCCGCCCTCAAGGGCAGTTTTTAAGGGTGCTGGAGGGGTTTGTGGATGTTCCCTCTAGGACCCCCCTCAAGGGTTTCTTGTTGTTGATGGTTCAGGGGGTTGGTGGGTTCCCCCCCCTCAAGAGGGTCTTGTTTCGGGTTAAAGAGAGTTGGTGGGTTTTCCCCCCAGGACCCCCCCTCAAAAGGAGTTCTTGGGGAGCGTAGGGGGAAGTGATGGGTTTCTCCCCAAACTCCCTTCTCAAGCGGTGTTGTAGATGCGGTTAGTGGGTGGTGGTGGTGGGTTATCCGCCCAGTACCCCCTCAACGGGGGTTTTTGGGAGGGGTCAGGTAGTGTTGGTGGGTTTCCCCCCGAGAACCCACCCCTTTAGGGGGGGTCACCCCCCACTCAAGGATTTTGTTTGTCGGGTTCGAGGGGGTGGGTGGGTTTCCTTTCCCCCCCAGGACCCCCCCCTCAAGGAGGGTTTTTGGAGGGATTAGGGGGGGTTGGTGGGTCCCCTCCTTTCCTTGTCCCTGCTCTCCGCGAGTCCATTTCGGCACACGCTCACGCGCTTCGTGGCCCCGTAGGGAGTTCCACGGAAGGCCGCAGCAGGACATTTCGCATGAGGTCCCTCCGCCCCCCGCCCATTCCGGCATACCCCTCACACGCTTCGTGGCCCCGTAAGGAGTTCACCGAAGGCCGCAGTGGCACAGGTCGCTTGCGGCCACCCGCTGATATCGGCACACCCCTCACACGCTTCGTGGCCGCATGGGGAGTTCTACCCAAGGCCCTTTGTGGCACAGTTCGCGTGCGATCCGCCAATCCATGTCGACACACTCCTCACACGCTTCGTGGCCCCATAGGGAAGAGCTCTACCGAAGGCCCCAGTGGCACAGTTCGCACGCGGTCCCCCCGCTCATTGCGGCACACCCCTTACACGCTTCGTTGCCCCATAAGGCGTTGCACTGGAAGCCCCAGTGGCACAGGTCGCATGCGCCCCCCGCCCATTTTCGGCACGCCCCTCACGCGCCTCGTGGCAGCTCCACCGAAGGCCGCAGTGACACAGTTCGCAGGCGGTCCCCCCGCCCATGTCGGCATACCGGCCCCCATGTCGACACACCCCTCCTAAGGATCGTGCCCCACAGGGAGCTCCACCTAGGGCCCCAGCGACAGGGCTCGCATGCAGGGCGGCGCCCACTGCGGCGCGCCCCCATCACGAGGGTCGTGCCCCACAGGTAGCTGGAGTGTGACCCCGACCCACTTCGGCGGATCGCGCGCCGTAGAGGGCTCCCCCTCCTCCTCCTCCTCCTCCTTGCCCCTGCGCGCCTGGTCCGCTGCCCTCCGTCCGCACTGCCCCAGGCTCCGTCCCTTTCGCGGCGCGCTGCGTGTGAGGAGAGGATCATATCTTGGGCCACTCGCCTTGGACCCCTCACCGCGCTCAGTCTCCATCTTATCGCAGCCCAGATCGCTGTGAAGACCAGGGGTCCTGAGGGAAAGGGCCCCGAGGCTTCTCGCCGCGTGCGGCCTCCTGGGGCCCTCTTCCCAGGTCCCGGGGCTGTCAGAAAGGACCCAGGGCGACAAAACCAGGACCCAGGAAGACCGAAAGTGCTCCCAGGGATGTCCTCTGGGGTAGCCAGGGCCCCTCTCAGGACCCCCCTCCCCTCGCTCCCACCAGAGAGGGGCGGCCCACGCTCAGGACGCACTTCTCCGACCCGGGCAGGATACCCGAGCGCTGGAGGGCCTTCGCCGAGAGCACGGGGGGCCTCGCGGTGGCCACCTCGCGCCACGCCTGGCAGCCCGGTCGCGCCACGCCCTGCAAGAAGTGCGGCGGCCTCGAGCGGCCCGAGCGGGCCCACCACTGCGCCGTGTGCAAGGTTCGGAGGTTGATAGACCTCCTGCCCTGACACGTCGACTCGCGAATGGGCCGTTTTCAGTTCGCGAGAGGGCGTCGCGGCCGTCATTGTGGCGGGTCCAGGTCCGTCGGTTTCGGTCTTGGGCCGTTTTCATTCAAGGGTGGTTCACTAAAGGGAGGTTTGTCCACCGCCGACAGGTGTGCGTGCTGCGGATGGACCACCACTGCCCCTGGACGGCGAACTGCGTGGGGCACAGCAACTACAAGTATTTCCTGCTAGCGACCGGCGCCTCGCGCGAGCCGCCGCCGCCGCGCCCGCGGCCAATAGGGGCGGGCCGCCTGGGGGGGGGCTCTCGGGAGCAGCTTAGCGCCTGCGTGGGGCCTCGTTGCCTGGTGCTGGCCCTCTCTTATAGTGGAACGAGCAATGACATGAACATAAAGCCTTGGAGGTCCGCGCGGATTTCTCGGATCGGCTCTGGGGTCCCTTGGCGGCGCCTCCGGCGCCGCCCCAGGCGCGCTCTGCGCGTCAGGGAGGGGGGTCCAGCGCCGATCCGAGAAATCCGCGAGGACCTCCGAGTCTTTATGCTTATGTAGTTGTTCGTTCCTCCATCTCTGGAACCTGCCTCGCGGGCCGTCCTCGTGCGCGCGCCTTCTCAGAAGGGCCACGAGAACATGGGCAGGATCCGCCGAGGACGAGGAGGAGGGGGGGGAGGAGCAGGAGGAGGAGGAGGAGGAGGAGGAGGAGGAGGAGGAGGAGGAGGAGGAGGAGGAGGATCGACGAGGCCTCCCCGGGCCGTCAGCGGCGGTCACAGAGGCGGCTCTCTCCACGGTTCGACGGGTCGAGGCCCGTCGTGGGACCCACCTCCCGGGAGTGCTCCGGTAGGGGGCTCGGCTGCGTCACCTGTGGCGCGTACGGGATCCCATACAGTGGAGACCCATGCCAAGAAACACCCTGCTTGCCTCCAGGGTGCCCTGGGTTCCTTGGGCTTCCGATGGATTTGCAGTGGAAGGCGCGACGTTCCCACACCAAGAATCAGTGGGCGTCATGGGGTCTCGGGGTCGAGTTTCTCGTGGAAGGTTTCGTGTTGACTGGCCTCCACTGTAGAATACCTCGTGGGCCGCCCTGGCACTCCCTCTGTCGGGCCGGGCGAAAGGGGGGGATTGGGAAAGGGGGGGTTACGAAATCTGCTGCATGCAGCTGGTTTCGGCCTCCCGAGGGGCCCATTCCTCGATACATGGCGCCTCCCGGCGCCGGGAGGCGCCGGGAAAATCAGCTACGCGAGCTGATTCTCAAACCCCCCCTTTTGCTATCCCCCCCTTTCGCCCGACCCGAAAGAAACACCCTGCTTGCCTCCAGGGTGCCCTGGGTTACTTGGGCTTCCGATGGATTTGCAGTGGAGAGCGCGACGTTCCCACACCAAGAATCAGTGGACGTCCTGGGGTCTCAGGGTCGAGTTTCTCGTGGAAGGTTTCGTGTTGACTGGCCTCCACTGTAGAATACCTCGTGGGCCGCCCTGGCACTCTCGGGCCGGGCGAAAGGGGGGGATTGGGAAAGGGAGGGTTACGAAATTTGCTGCATGCAGCTGGTTTCGGCCTCACCGAGGGGCCCATTCCTCGATACATGGGCGCCTCCCGGCGCCGGGAGGCGCCGGGAAAATCAGCTACGCGAGCTGATTCTCAAACCCCCCCTTTGCTATCCCCCCCTTTCGCCCGACCCGACTCTGGAAGGCTCCGAGGCCTCCTCGAGCCTCCCCTGCTGTCTGGAGGGCGTCGCCCTGGGTGTTGCGGGCCCGCCCGCCGGAGAGTGGCCCGAGGGCCTCTTCGGGCGGGAGGCGCTCGTGGGCCGTGGGCCTCCACGGGGGGGGGGGGGCGGGGGGGCAACGGGGGGGGGGGGAGGGAGCGAGGCGGAGGAGGAGGAGGAGGAGGAGGAGGAGGAGGAGGCTGAGGAGGAGGAGGAGGACGAGGAGGAGGAGGAGGAGGAGGAGGAGGAGGAGGAGGAGGAGGCCTGCTGGGGCTCTGTGGAGCCGACGATGTGGGGGCATCCCGGTCCGGCAGCCGACTTCGCGACTCGTTCGACGGCCAGAGCACCGGAGCTCTCTCGACCCCCACGGCCAATGTCTCGCCGCAGGGCAGTTCTCCAACGGCCCTCTGGAGCCCGGACGTGGCCCCCAGAGGCCCACGCTGCCGAGATGCGTCCGCCGTGATGCAGCTCGCAACATCTGGGGCGTTCCAAAAAGGGCCTTGCCTTCGAGGATCGAAGGAGTTGTCATCTCTTCCGCGACGGAAGGTCGGCGGAAGGAAAACGAGGCCGCCTCCGCCGGCGGAAGCCGGCGGAAGGCTGGCGGGAGGCGGCGGAAGTAAAAGATGCGCCCCCAAGAGATGAACATGTTTTTGTGTTCAGGGTTTCCGAAATCGACCATCTGGAGGTCCTGGTGGGCCGGCGGATTGGGAGTGTACCTCTGTCTCAACAGCTTCGTTGCCTTCGCCACCGCCCTGCCCGAGCTCGTCTACTGCGTGACCGGCTGGTGCATGAACACGGGCACCGACGGCACCAGCAGCCCCGAATGGGTGTACAATTTACAGCGCTTCGCGGCTGGCGAGTCTGGACGGTGATCAGATCTTATGTTCGCTTCTGGCAGGGCGCACCGGGCGTGACACCCTCCTCCACATGATCTTCCCTCTCCTGGAGCGGCATTGTCTTGTCTTGTGTGTCTTCCACCTCCGTCGCTCTGCACATCCCCAGAATTGTGTTTGCCTTCAAACCTCTTGGGAAACTCAGCATGGATTACGTGGGTCGGCTTGTCAGCCTGGTGGTCCAGATGGACTCAGCGGGTATTGGCACCATAGAAGGCATGTGCTTTGCCTTCATGGGCTTTATTTCGCTGGCAGTGTTCGTGCTCCTTTGCCTCATGCTGTCCGCCCACTTGCCGCTTGCCATACGGAACCTCACGTCCATCGAAGAGTTTTACGACAACATGGAGAACCCGTACGATCATCACAACTGTTTGACGAACCTGTCGCAGACCATGGGCAGGTTTGGCCCCGACTGGTTCCTGCCGGTGGCCCCCTGCAGGCCGCTCTCCGATGGCGTCTTCTTCTCCCGCCCAGACGAGAAACTGCCGCGGCATCTGGAGTTCGAGAGTGCCATCGCCTCCGCCGCCGACAGCGAGTCCGAGGACGACGACGAGGAGGAGGGTCCGCACTCGGCGCTCGAGGACCCGCCCACGTGCCCCTGCCCTGGCGCAGGGAGGGCCTGCCAACCTTCGAGGCGGTCCCTGGGAGGGGCCCTCGACGGCACTCGGTCGGATTTGGTTCGAATCGGCCACGCGCAGCGGGTGGTACAGAGGAGACCCATGCCAAGGAACTGCTTGCCTCCAGGGTGCCCTGGATTTCTTGGGTTTCGATGGTTTCGCGATGGGAAGCGTAACGTTCCTACACCGAAGATCAATGGACGTCCTGGGTTGCCAGGGTTGGAGTTCTTGTGGAAGGCTGCTTGTGGTCGAGCTCCTGCTGCAGGGGGAGGGGGTAAGGCTTCTGAGCAGCACCCCTGCTTCTTAGGAGGCGCGGGCCACTTGATCTGTAAATGTAAGGCCGGCGCCTCCTAAGAAGCGGCCTCCTTCTGAGGAGCCTTCCCCCCTACCCCCCTCCGCGCGCCACCACTCGAAAGGCTGCTTGGTGTGGTGGCCACGAGGAGTTCAGCGCCCGGGGTTCCGATTTTCGTGGAGGGGGTGCGGGGCTTGCTTAGCGAAACGAGCAATGACACAAACACAAGAACTCGGAGGTCCGCGCGGATTTCTCGTATCGGCGCTGGGCCCCCCTGGCGGCGCCTCCGGCGCCGCCCCTGGCGCGCTCCTCGCGCCGTGCAGGGGTGTCCAGCGCCGATCTGAGCAATCCGCGCGGACCTCCGAGTTTTTGTGTGTATGTCATTGGTCGTTCTCCTATTGGGAGTGCGGGGCCTGCTGGTGGAGCACGCGCACGTAGCCTGGACACCCAACGGCGCTTTTGGTTGTCGGTCTGCGGCCCCAGGGTTTCGAGCCCTCATTCTTTTGATGCTCACGGGACCCGAAGGCGGCCGCCGTGGGGCCGCCGGCGAGTATCAGCGAGTCGCGATTGCACTCGCCAGAGGCCTGGGCACATCGTTCTCTTTCTCTCGGCCGCGCGCGAAGACAGCGCTCGAGGAGCTGTGGGGCTTCCAGCATGCACCAGAGGCCTCGGGGGCAACGTCAGTGGGGGGGGACAGGCGCAGGGGGGGACGCGTCGGCCCCCGAGCGCCCACCCATCGCCAAGAGGGGCCTGAGAAAGCCCACCCCGCCCAAGACCATACGGGTGCACTATCGGGGGCCTATCGCCGATCCATTGGCGATGTATCGCCGACTGCAGGTCGATGATTTCCCCCCCCCGAGCTGGGCACTCCCGATCGTAATTACTCCCTCGCGAGCCGCGCCAAGAGAGAGCGCTGGTTCGTCGCCCTCGCCGTCCTCGGCGCCGTCGTCGTCGGCCTCCTCGTCCTCGTCCTCGTTTCGCCCTCGTGGGGTCGTCCTCGTCGCCCTCGCCGTCCTTGGCGTCCCTGCCCTAGTCGTCGCCGCCGTCCCTGCCGTCGCCCTCGTCGTCGTCAGGAGCTGTGGCGCTTCCGGTATGCGCCGGAGGCCGCCGAGGTCCGACGAGCCACCTCCTGGGGGGGCCGCTGACGAGGGGCGCCCTGCCGCGCGGCGCCTGCAGGCGTGCGGTGCCCGGCGGCCCCTAATACTGCCCCGCGCCGCCGGCGTCCTGGGGTCCTCCACGCTCCTCGCGCCTCTCCTCCCCTCCTCTCTTCCTCTCCTCCCTCCTCCTCCCCCCTCTCCTCCCCTCCCCTCCTCCCCTTCCTGTTCGACCCTGCCTCCCCCCCCCAAAAAAAAAAGAGGCGGCCTCCCCGTCGCCATCTGCCGCCTCCAGCTGCAGCTCCTGCGCCCCCCAGGGGCGCCTCGTGTCGGCACGAGGGAAACAGATCCTGGACTTAGCTGCACCAGCAACGCCCGCGCTGAAACGCGCGGCACGTACTATGTTCAAAAAACGTCCGCGTGAACGCGCTGCGTGGCCGCGTGTCGGCTCGGCCCGCGTCGGCCCGCGTGTCGGCGAACGTCCCGCGCCAGACCTACGTCTTCGGTCCACGTGTCGAGGTACGTGTCAACGCGCCACGCGTTGGGTGCTGCGACGGCCCAAGTGCCGCCCAAGACGGACCAAGAGGCCCCAAGACGGGCCCAAGAGGGGCTCAAGAGGAGAACCGAGAACTGAAAAATCGAGCCCTCCGCCCCAGAAGGCGCCCAGGAGGCCCCAAAAAGGCCCCAAGAGGCCCCCAAGAGGCCCCCAAGACGCCCCAAGAGGCGCCCAAGAGGCCCAAAAGAGGCCCCAAGAGGCCCAAAAACGGCCCCCAAGAGGCCCCAAAACTCGGCTAGCCCACAACGGTGCGACAATATGGGCCGGCGGAATGAGCGAAGCGATTAACAACGTCTGGATCAAGCTCCTTACCGGTTTCGTGGGTCTCTCCAGTTGGGCGCCCAGACGGCTTCTCGCCGCCACGGCGGGAGTCCCCCCAAAATCTAGTCAGAACGCACCCCGTCACACGCCTGGGGGTCGGCTTGGCAGGTCCGTCGTGAAGAAAGGTGTCCTGGAGGAAAAATGCGTCGTGAAGTATGACATCTATCCCTCGTTGGGGCCATCCCGGGCCCCAGGGCCGTCAAACCCTTCTTCCCGCGGGCAACCAGAGGGCGCGGTGACCACACCGTGTGGCGAGTCGGTCAGGAATCGGCATGACCGTACGGTTTGATCCCGGGGTCGTTCTCCCAGGGATGTCGTAGGCGATTGGGGCTTATACGGAGTCCGACAAGCCGTGCGGCGACGGACCGTGCGGGGAGGTCTTCTTGGGGGCTCCGAGATCACCACACGGCCTCTCGCCGCACAGTTCTGGGAACAGTCGAGGTTTACGATGTTCCAACCTACTTTAGCCTGAACCACCAGAAATAATTTCGAGCGCCGAAGCTCGAGGGTTTTTACGGAAGCTCGATGGTTTTTACGGGTCGGGCCTTAGGAGACATTCGGTCGACATTGTTTCGGCATTTTTCCGGGTGCTCGAAATTATTTCTGGGATGTGGTCTTTAAGTACGATGGGAGCAACGTAAGTCGAGGTTCGAGGCTCTTGCATGTGTCTCGTGCTTGTGGATCCCTCGGGGAGGCTTCTCGTCGCCACGGCCGGCGTCTCCTCGACAGGGCCGGCCACGTCGCACCCCATGATGTAGGTCCAGGGGCAGATGTGATAGGCCAACCGTGCTTCTTGCTCACCGCTTTCGGGCTCCTGGGGCCCTTCCCGGGCCCAGGGGATGGCCAAAACCACTCGGGATGGGAAGCTGAGGGGCAACGATAGGGGGGGACTGACATCGACCTGCAATCGGCGATACATCGCCGATAGATCGGCGATAGGCCCCCGATAGTAAATCCGCACGCACGTTCCTGGGCAGGCTGGGGCTATCGGGCCCCTATCGGCGATCAATGGGCAATTAGGGGTCAATGCATCACCCCCTATGCCTATCCCCCCCTATCGTTGCCCCTGAGAAGCTAGTACCTCTCGTCTCCTGCCGACACAGCACGTTCACGTGCTCTTGCCGTACCCCTCCCTGCACGCGGCCTCGGCCCGTTGCTCGTGGGCCCGTCTGCGGTGCCACCCGAGTTCCTGGCACCAGCGGGCGTTGTCGGGAGGCAGGGTGAGCCGAATAGTCCAGAGGCGCTGCCGCGCATCTCCTCAGAGCACCGAGTCATCAGGGGTAACTCGGGTCAGGGCTAACTCGGGTTCGTTGTTCGGGAATCCGAACCCGAGTTCCCCTGGATAATTCGGGCGTCCAGAGCCCCAAATCATCAGGGGTAACTCGGGTCAGGGCTAATGCGGGTTCATTTTCCGGGAATCCCCAGGCCCGAGTTACCCCGGATAGTTCGGGCGCCCAACCTCCGCAACTTACCAGCCTGAAGCAGATCCAGATCCCCATCGCTGGTATCTCCTCATCTGGGTGCCAACCTTGGAGATCCCCGCAGATCCTGAAGGCACATCCCTGAGATTGTCATCGGCTTGGGCTTGTCGATCTTAGGGATAGGGATGAGTTCGAGGCGGGTTAGCCAACCGCGCCGTGGGAGTGGGGGGGTCTGGGGGCGGGGGGGGTCGGCGGCCAGCCCAGGGGGGGAAGTGAGAGGGGGTGGGCCTTTCAGAAGGTTCGGAAGGCCTCCGGCCTCTGAGGAGTTCCATGCGCCTCCTCCGAAGACAGAGACGGTTTTTCCAGAAGGCTCGAGGACTCTTTTTGAGAAGAGCGCTTCTGAGAAAGCCCCCCCGCCGCCTTCTCGGAAGAGCGGCGGCGGGGGGGCACGGGGGAGGGGCCACGGAGCCCCCCTGGCCCGACGCTGGGGGCCGAAGCCTTGGGGCCAGACACCTGTCTGCGGGACCCGCAGTCTTGGTTAGTCCTTTCTGACCGCGCCGCCGTCGGACACGAGAGAAGGGGCCACGGAGCGCCCCACTCGAGCAGTGGCGAAGCGTCCTGTCTTGCCTGCCCATCAAGGACTGTTTTGTTGTAGAACCTTGGGTGGTCTGCACGACATGTTTTTTACAACACGCTTGGCTGATACTGCCTTGCTTCAGCACATCGGTCTACGCTCTGAGAACATTGCTTTTGTTTTTCGGGAACCGCTGGGTTCTGAGCACATGTCGTTGTAGACCTGCAGGAATGCCGGGATGGCCGGCCCCTGCTCAACCAATGCCCAACGCTCAGGAGGCCGGCGAGCCAGAAGCTCAAAGCAGAGCCTCGCCGACTCTCACGCCGAGCCTCCCCGACGCGCCGGGAGGCCGCACAACGCTGCTGCTCCGCAGCGGGCGGGCGGCGAGGAGCGAAGAGGGCACCGAGTATACACCTGCACCGATCCTGGGCAAGGCGATCCTCCTCCTCCTGCTCCTCCTGCTCCTCCTCCTCCTCCTCCTCGCCCTCTCCCTCCTCCTCCCTCCTCCTCAGTTTCGGCTCGTGAGGGGGAGGACTCCCCCTGGGCGCCTGCCTGGCAGGCGAGGGCGTCCCCCCCCCCATCGCGCGCTGGGACTAGCGCCCACGGCGCTGCCGCGGGAGGCGGCGGCGCACCACAGGGCGCGCTCGCGCCGCGCGGAGGACCGCGTCTTCCTCCGCGCCCGGTCAGGCAGATCGTCGCCCGAGCTGCAGGAGCGCCTGTGGCGCGCGGCGCGGCGGCTGCAGGAGCACCACGGCCCATGGCCAGGCAGGATTGTGCCCGGGCCGCCCGAGCTGCGCGTGCTGCGGGGCCCCAGTATGCCGTTCTGGGGCTGCTCGCGCGGCAAGGACAACAACTGGGCATCGCGCATCACGTGTTCATGCGGGGGGTCGGCTCCGCGGCGCGTGGTCGATGTTGCCAAGCTGGCGGATCAGGACCTTCGTGCCGAAGGGGGGGCCCGTCCTCCTGCACGAGCAGGTGCTGCCGCTTCAGGAAAGCTGCTGCGGAAGCCGGCCCCGTGGTCCAAGGAGTACAACGGCGGTCTGGAGGAGCAGTTGCGGACGCTCGCGAAGCAGGTGGCCAGCCTCACGCAGCGTCCTTCCTCGACGGCTCCTGATGGCCCAGCGGCAGGAGGTGGCGGCAGCGTCAAGAAGGAACACGATGATGGCGACGAGAAACCGTTCCACCAGAAGACGGTGCTGCAGGAAAATATCAACTACCACGAGAAGGCCCTCAAGGAGTGCAGCAAGGTGGAGGAGGACGGCGGGCCGCTCCATCTTCTCCACCAGAAGGCCTTGGAGGAGCTCCGAGGGCAAGCTCGCGCGTTGCGGCCCCCAGAAACTGCGCGCAAGGCGACGACGCAGAAACTGGCGAAGTGCAGGCAGCAGTTCGAAAGGTACGAAGACGACCTCAAGGGCCTCCAGGAGCAGCTCGCCAGCATCAGCCAGAAGATCACCGAAAAGCAGGAGGCGATCACGGCCAAGAGGGCTGAAGTGAAGGTTTTCAAGGTTCGGCAGGAGCGTGCGCTGCGGAAGGCTCGTGGCGAGCTGCCGACGGCGAAGGCGAAGCTGGCCAGCCTCACGGCGAAGGATCTCATCGCCTCCGACATCGACGAGGATGAGCTAGCCGGTGCAAGCACCTGAAGCTCAGGAGGCGCTGGCGGCGTTCAAGGCCAGATCTGGCTTCGGTGGTTGCTTCAGCTCCTGTGATGCTGACAATGATGATGCCGACGAAGGAGGTGCGACCCCACCTGGCGGTCCACACAGCGGCGGCGGTGACGACATGGAGCAGGACACGCCCCCTAGCCGAGCTGACAAGCGAGGCGCCAAGGCGGTGCAGCTGGTCGAGTTCGCCAAGGAGGATGTCGAGGCCCTCTGGGCCATCCTGAGCCAGCAAGCGCAAGAAGCGCAGCCTCGGAGTGGACCAAGGAGCTGCTCCAGACCGCCATCGAGAGCGTCCGGAACACCAAACGCCGACGAACGGATGGAGGATTTGTTCGTACTGGGGGATCGGGTGGGCGACGCGAATCCGCGCGTCAGCGGGATCAGTCATGGGCCCGGGCCCCCTGTGCAGGAGGTCCCCACCATAATCGCGACGACGCGCACTTTCGAGACATTCAATGCACACCAGGGTATAAAAAAAAAACTGCAGCGCAGGCTCCGCGCCGCGGCTGCCATGGCCGTGCTGGCGCAGGAGATCGGCTATGGGGCCGACGACAGCGAGGCCCTCAGCTATTGGGCGGCAGCTACTCGCCGGCAGTGTCTCGTGGTTCCAGGGCGAGCAGCGAGAGGACATCTTCCCTCAGCTGGGCTTGCAGTTTTCGCCAGTGAAGGAGTCGGGCTTCGAGGGCCGACTTGCCCGGCTGATGCCCCTCCGAGGCGCGCTGGCGCCATCCATTCCACGGCGGCCCACGGCTCGGGGCTGGCTGCGGGCCGGGCGCAACGCGCAGTGGTGGAGTTGCCCAACTGGCCGCCCATCAACGTCTACAACCTCCACCTCCGCACTGCGCAGGGGATGAGCGCCCGCAACGCGAAGATCATCGCGACGATTGGGCTGGCGATGGCAGGCCAGATTCACCCGTGCATCGTGCGGGGCGACGGGAACATGGAGGCCCAGGTGGTTCGCGATTCCACTGTCCCTGCGCAGGCGCAGCTCGAGCTAGCGGCCCCAAGGCGCACCGCCTGCAGGGCGGCGCCCCCCGTGTCCACGCTGGACTAAGTCGGGCTCTAGACGGGGGCCATGCGGATGTCGGCATCACGCAGTGCGGATCTCAGCAGGGTGACCAAACCTCATCGGCCTGTCCAACTGCGGCTTGTGGCAGAAGGCTCCAAGGTGAGGTGTCCGACCTACGTGGGAGAACCGCGCCTCACCTCCGAAGTCATCAACGGCCCGTTCTCATAGGACGACAGTTGGTCGATCGAGCGGAGCTTCGCGACAGAGGTCTCGAGGATGGCCAAGGAGGAGCAGGCTACGGTGGCCCGGCGCTTTCTCTCCAAAGCGCGGGGTCGGCGGGCGGTTCGCGCTGCGGAACGGATCGGACACTTCGCCAGCGCGGAAGTACGCGCTCACTCATATGCGCGCGCCTTCCAGTACCAGTGGGTTGAGAAGGAGCACGAGAGCGTCACGGAGACGGAGCTGCAGGCTATCGCAGACGGATGGAAGTGGCTACAGGACAGTTTGCAAGGGCTGGTGACTGCGCATGAAGGCGGTCGCAATGCAGCTCGACCTCAAGTTTTCCATGGCGAGGTGCAGGGCTTCCTCGGCGCGGACTACATCGGCCAGAACCTGAGCGCGAGGCTGGGCGCCTCCGTTCAGCAGGCAAGGAGGCTGCTGCAGCAATCCTGCTGCAAGGGCGACCTCGCCAGCCTCCTTGAGGATTTCGACGAGGACATCAGCTTCGCCATGCAGCAGGCCAGCAGTGATTCCAACAGACGCTGGAAGGAGCGGTGCGACGGTGCGCGCGCGTGTGTGCGGGGGGGGGGCTGGCAAGTTCCATCGACGCACCGAGGTCCGCGAAGTTCAGGCACCCAGGGCGGTCAATGACGCGGAGCGCGGCATCACTGGCCACCCGCACTACGTCGTCAAGGACATGGAGGACAAGCACGCAAAGTGATGGAGGGCTACGACGGCAGCCCCGCAGGCCTGGATCCCCGACCGCTCCACCTTGCAGCGACCGACTCCAGCTGAGCTGCGTCGCGCGGCAGGCGCCTTCAGCGCCGAGACCTCCAGCAGCCTTGGCGGCTTCCACCCGGCCCACCCCCTGGACCTCAGCGATGGCGCGCGAGAGGGACTGTGCGAGATCATGTTCGTATGTGAGGCACTCGGGCTCTCGCCTACGCAACTTACGTGGCTGGCGACGCCGATGCTCCCCAAAGCGGCCGGAGGGCACCGGTTGATCATGCTGCACTCGATGGCTCCTTCAACTACAGCAGTCCCTCCTGGCGACCGTACTGGGGAGCTGCGAAGGACGAACAGGGGCGCGACCGACGGCGCGTGGATCCTGGCCGCGGACGCGGAGCAGAATTCGGCAGGACGGCGCCACGCCATCACCATCATCGGCGATTACAGCAAGTACTACGAGACGATATCCGTGGGTGAGGCCCGCGACGGGCTCCAGCGCCTGGGGATGCCGATGTCGATCGCCAAGGTCACTCACAACCAGTGGCGAGGGTCCCGCATCATTCGTCTTCGTCAGCATCGCGGCACCCAACCTCGGCGCGCACGGGGCGGGCCACCAGCAGGAGACGGCTACGCCCACGTGGCCATCGAGGCGCACGCTTTGGAGCAGTACGACCTCTACGTGACGCTCCATCCCCTGGTCCGTTTCTCATCCTACATCGATGGCACCTCTCTCGGCCTCAACAGCACCACTAAGGAGGGAGTGATGGTCCAGGCGGGTCAGGATTTCGTCAGTACAGCGCAACAGTTAGGTGCTCACCTCAACGAGAAGCTCGCGGTGGTCGCCAGCTCAGCGGATACAGGCAAGACTGTTGCACAACGACTGGGCCCCCCAGCAGATTTGCACCAGCGGAGGGCCACCGACTGAGGCGCCGATTTGTCGGGGGCCAGGCGACGGGCAGCCAAGCGCACCAGGGCCAAGTATTGGGACAGACTACGGATTCACCGACTTCGACCGCGCAAGCAAGGGCGCTATCGACGACGCCTACCGGGGCAACAGACGGCACGGGAGGGCAAGATCTACCGTGCGGGAGCACGGCGAGCAGGTACCTACGGCGTGGAGATCAATGGTCTTGCACCTGCATCACAATGGTCACGGGTGATCTGGTTAGCGATCTCACAGCCGCAGCGTGCTCCAGTCCCCCTGGCCCTACTTACTACGTGGTGGCGACGAGCAGTCGACGAGCCAGGGCGATGCAGCACTTGGGGACAAACACGAGGGCCCCCCCAGAGAGCAGCCCTGTCGATTGCAAGGAGTGGCTGGAGCCCAGGTTCAGGCATCCTGTGGCGTAACCACCGTGGCGACGATGTTCATGTGGATCAACTTACGCCAGGGCTGCTTTTCATGCTGCTGCAGGAAGGTGTTCAGCGTCAGCACGAGAAGGCCTTGGCATGCAAGATGGGCCTCGGCGAAGGCATGAGGGTGACCTTTGACATCCTCGAGTCTCTCATGTCACCTCCAAGAGCAAGCGGTACACGGCCCGCCAGAAGTTCTGCATCAGCTTCGTGCACACCAAGCGGGGTACGCACTGGGGGGCTCTGCCGATGTGGAGCGCAGGGCGCCCTCCTTCACCGCCTACTCGAATGTACTCGGGCCGATGTACTGCAGGCCCGAGAAGATGCTGAGGCCCCTGCTCATCTACTGGAGCAACTTCGGGAGCATGGAGATGATCCTGGATTCATACAAGGGGCATTCGCCTATCAGCCCGCCTCGGTCCCACCTGGATCCGGGGCTGAGTTGTGTCATCCTAGATAGCCAAGGTCTCGACAGCTGCGCCACGCCAGAGTCAAGGGTGCGGAGAGACGTGCGCGATGCTGATGACAGCATGGAGGTTGCGATTGACGGGTCCTGCACCAAGCCGCCTGTTCGGGAATTCCAACGTGCAGGATGGATCACTGCTGTCCTCGACCCGCGATCAAGCACCCCGCTCTGCTCTTTCCATGCGCCTGTTCCAGCATCCCTGCCGCAGTCCTCGGCCTTGGGGGAGCACCTCGGCGCGGCTCTCGTGTCCCAGATCGCCGACCGCCCCTGCCGAGTCCACGCCGACTTCATGGGAGTCATCCAGCTGGGCAACACGGAAGGGGCAGCAGCTCGCCAGCAAGACGCCCTACGCGTGCGTAGCCCGATTCGCGCAGTCGCTCGAGGGTTCCCAGCACATCCAGCAATGCCACCATGTGAAGGCGCACAGGTCAGGCACTGGCTACGAGGCGATGGGCTACGAGCAGCGTCGACTCACGGATGCCAGCGCAGCAGTTGATGCAAGGGCAAAGACGGCGACATCCATGCACCCAAGGCCTGATGATGACATGATCGAGGCCATGGAGACGGCCGCTTGCAGGATCGGCAAAGTAGCACGGCTCGCGGCGAACGCGATGCCGATCTTCGATAAGGACGACCAGCTGATTTGGACGAGGCGAACCCCAGCACATCGGCGTGCGGCTCGCACGCGCAAGGCTACCTGGCATCAGTGGCAAGATGGCGAGCTACGGGTACAGTGCCGCGCTTGCCTACAACTGCATGCACCAGGAGCCCCACTCCCACTGACGGGGGGCGGGGGCACCCCGGCTTCCTCAAGCAGTTCCCGCCTAACTTGCTAGGTCACAAGCTAGCGGCGGTCAGCCAGTGCGGGACACTGCTTGAAGACAGCACCGAGAGCGTCGAGAGCGTCTTCATCTGCGTAAGGTGTAGAGCCTGGGCGCAGCAACGGCATCGTTTCAAACTGCGGCTTCCCTGCGCGGCAGCCACAATCAAGGGCCTGGAGGTCTTGCAGAATCTCAAGAAGGCAGTAGGGCCGCACACAACATTGCAGAAGTTCATCGACCCCACCCCCCCCGCTCAAGAGAGTCAGGACCGACGCGGTCACCAGCTGCACCTGCGCGAAGGTCGACATCCTCAAGGACTGCGACATGGTGCAGGAGGATCGCCACTCATTCGAGCACAGGGTGGGGGCCTTGCACCAGCGGGTACGTGAGCGAGAGAGTCAACTGCGTACTGCACCTGAAGAAGGCAACACCATGTCCGTACATGCGCTGGGACGAGGAGACCTACCTGAGCTGCGCAGGGCACCTGCAGGATCGGCACACAGGCACGTTCGCGAAGGCGATGGCGCCCTCCAGCGAGAGGCGCTGGAGGAGCCGAGCGCCCAGCACGCTCTGCAGCACAGCGGTGGGCGCCTACCAGAGGTGCAGCCCGTGGGCAGCCAGCGCGATGACAACGGGGCCAGCGGGACTCCCCGGGCGGCTACTCCCTCGACAGGGCACCTCCCAGCCAAGGACGGACGCCGACTGGCGAAGGTGGGCTGGCGGATGCTGCCCTTGATGATGCCCCTTCCCCAAGGGCTGGGGGCGTCAACGCGACCGCCTATTTGGACAGGGCGCGCCTCTGGACGAGGGGGCTGGAGGGCGCGGGGGGGCGCGGGAGTTTCAGCCCCCGCCCCCCCCCCGCCCCCCGCCCCCCCGCCCCCGCTGCAGGCGCGGGAGGCGGTGCCGCAGCCGCTGCGCGGGCGAGAAGCCAGTCAACAACCAGGAGAAGCACTCCGAGCAGTGCCAGAGGAGGTCTCGCTGAGAGTCCTGGTGGAGCTCTGCGACTCGATGGCGGAGAGGGAGTTCCAGCTGGCTTGGTGATGCGAAGTGCCTGCGGCCCCAGGCCTTCTTCCAACGTGGGGAGAGGTTCGCGGAGAGCCAGACCCAGCGACGTCGAGGATGTTGGGTACCTGAGAACCCCAAGCGGAGATCGAGGACTCAGGAGGGGCTCGGGGAGGCACGCCAGAGCGGGCCCCAAGTTCGGGCGGAGCCAGGATGCTCGCGGCCCGAGCGGCAGGGCCAGGGGCACAGTGGCGTCGGCGCGGCGCCCACGTGCTCTGGAGGGCCCCCTGCAGTGGGCCCATGGGGGCGGGGGGCACAAGTAGTGCTTCCGGGCGAAATAAACAGGAAGAGCCACCCCGCCCCCCACCAGCGGCCGCGCAGGAGGCGAGAGGCCCCAGGCGCCCAGATGGGCAATCGTCCGAGATGAACTCCAGGGGGATGGAGTTCAAGAGGCTCGTCGCCATGGCGACGGGGAGTTCGAGGGCGAGGCGTTCGACTTCGCTAGGCCCCTCGGCAAGCTCGCGCCCCTCATCTGAGGGGGCTGGACGGGCGCCCGACCCTCGACCTCCGAGGCCCGCGATATCGATATCCTCCCTCCTCCTCCTCCCTCCTCCTCCTCCTCCTCCTCCTCCTCCTCCTCCTCCTCCTCCTCCCCTCCTCCTCCTCCTCTCGCCCCTCCACCTGCCTCCTCCTCCTCCTCCTCCTCCTCCTCCTCCTCCTCCTCCTCTCCTACTCCTCCTCCTCCTCCTCCTCCTCCTCCTCCCCCGTCCTCCTCCTCTCCTCCTGCTCCTCTTCCCCCTCCTCCTCCACGTCCTCCACCTCCTCATCCTCCACCCCTTCTCCTCCTCCCACTCCTCCTCCGCCTCCCCTTCCTCTCCTCCTCCTCCCTATCCTCCTCCTCCTCCTCCTCTCCTCCTCCTCCTCCTCTTCCTCCTCCTCCTCCTCCTCCTCCTCCTCCTCCTCCTCCCCCTGCTCGCTCCGCCTCCTCCTCCTCCCCCTCCCCCCCCTCCGTCGTCGTCGTCGCGCCTTCCTGCCCAACCGTGGAGGGCGTGCGCAGCGGTCCTGGCCAGGGCGAGCCTGGGCCCGGGATGGGCGTGCATGTCGAGCGGTGGCAAGCTGTTTTGGCTCGCTTTGAGGCCCGCCGTAGACTGTTCCAATGACCGCGCGTGGCTTGCGCGAGCTGTTCTGAGGATCTCTTTCTGGCCGAAGCCGCGTTGTTTTGATGCGCCGCCTTGTCATGTTCTAGGAACTGCGTTTGTGAATCTAGCAGTCTGTGGTAAATGTTCTTAGGGCCTTTGTGGCTCAGGTCGTGCTGATTTCATGCGCCGCCTTGTCATGCTCTGCGAACGTGGTTCTTGTGGATAGAACATGTTCTGGTACGTGTTATCCGAACCCTTCTGGCTGAGACCGTGCGGTGTTAATGCGCCGCCCCCTGGTTCTACGAGCGTTGCTCCTGTGAGCCGCACGCGTTATGAGAGCGCGTCGTGGGCTTCTGGGAGTGCCGGGACGGCCCGTCCCTGGCCCGTGGAGGGCGCGCGTGCGCCGATCCTGGGCTCCGGAGGGGGGCCTGGCCAGGCTCGGTGCGGGTGCACAGCTGGTGCCCTCCCAGCGGGCTAAGCTTCAGTCGGGCGTGTCCTCTCACAGGAGGAAGGAGTATTCACAAGTAGTACAAGATAAGTGTCAGGGGACGATTTTGGGACTATGTTGGATCACTTTGGGTTTGTTTCCGTCTTTTTTGGCTATTCTTGATTTTTCCTCCAAAATCCGCCTGTAGGGGGATATGCCCGAAGGCTAGCGAGAGGAGGAGAGCGGATCGGTGGTTCCAGCGTGGGGTCCCGAGGATAGAAATTTAGGCCTCCCATACGGGGTCCGAGTAGATGGGGTCAGAGGATCGCGCCGCATCGTCAATGCATCGGCGATGCGGCTCGATACGGAGCCCGATTTTCTCCACGCTGGCGTCGCCGATGCATCGCCGATGCATCGCCTGTGCATCGCCGAAGTATCGGCGATGCGGCGCGATCCTCCGACTCCATCTACTCCGACCCCATCTAGGAGGCTTCTAAAGATGGGGTCCTGAGAGATGGTGTCCTATGGATAGAAATGGATCCACGGGTGGATCTGCATTTCTTGAGGCACTTCGTCCCCAGAGGGGCCCCCATGCCTCGAGGCCCCAGCTTGGACTTCACCTGGCGGAGGGGCTTTGGGCACGCGCGCCGGCCGCGGGTCACCGCGCGGCGGCGGGAGTGGCCTGCCGAGGTGGCGCACAGCGGGTGCGCCTGTCGGCCACGCGCAGAGGGGGGTGGGGAGAGGGGGGAGGGCTTCTTAGAAGCACAGCACCCCTGCTTCCTGGAAGGAGCGGGCCTGGTGTGTGGAGGTCAGGCCCGCGCCTTCTGAGAAGCAGCCTCCTTCTAAGACGCCTTCCCCCCTCCCCCATACCCCCCTCTGCGTGCCGCCAAGCCTGCGCGGAGGCGTGTCTGGCGCCTGCGCGCGGCCGGGCGACAGGTCGCCAGGCGCCACAGAGCGCTCCTCAGAGGAGGGATCGGGTCGGGCGAAAGGGGGGGATTGGGAAAGGGGGGGGTACGAAATTTGCTGCATGCAGCTGGTTTCGGCCCTACCGAGGGGCCCATTCCTCGATACATGGGCGCCTCCCGGCGCCGGGAGGCGCAGGGAAAATCAGCTACGTGAGCTGATTCTCCAACCCCCCCTTTGCTATCCCCCCCTTTCGCCCGGCCCGAAGGGAGGGGTAACTGTCGATGCCGCTGCTCGTCCTGGCGCGCCTTTGTTTTTCCACGGCTGGGTTCTGCTCGAAGTGCTGGGGAGTAGCGGTGCTCCCCCGGTTCCCCCTCCGATGCGCCTCCATGTTTCCCCCTGCCAGGGCGCCTCCATCAGGAGCAACGTCAGGGATCCAACCCCATTCGGCCACTGATCGCCGATGGGCCGAATAGCCCACCCCGCCCAGGAGCGTGCGGTTTTTGCAGTCGGGGTATATCGCCGATCTATGGGTGATGTATCGACGATTTCAGCTCGATGTTCCCCCCGTGAGCTGGTCCCACCCTAACGGTGCACGTCACTCCACCGCACGGAGCGCCGGCGTCGTAGAATGTCGAGCGAGGCACCGCTGCCCCGCCCCGGTGCATTGCTATAATTGAAGCGGTAATTATTTGCACGAGTTCACTGCCTCTCGACCTTGTCGACGGCCAGCTGTCTTCGGGAGCCTGCAGAGGCTTCAGCTTGGCCAAAGTGACCCCTTACAGAAGAAGCCGATCATCGTCACAGTCGTCATCGTGTCACCGCTGTCGGCGCCATCGTCCTCGTCGTCAACGTCATGGCCTTGATCGTCTGGCCACAGGGCTTCGTGCTCTTCCTTCAGAACCTTGGCGGTAATGAGGTTAGTCAGGGGAGTGCCTGGGTTTCTTAGATGTTCTTGGCAGTCTCAGAAACACCGTCGGACATCTTCACGGGTCGCAGCCTCCTTTTTCCCCAGCCATCATGGTTCTCGTTTTGAATCCGCAATGCCCCGCATCACTCCTCGCCTCTCACACGTTTCGCGGCCCCTTAGGGATCTCTGCCTAAGGCCCCAGGGAGGGGGGGTCGCATAGTGTCGGCGCACCCTTCACACTTTTCGCGGTCCCATGCCCCAGTGGACTTACACATTTCGTGGTCCCATCGGGAGCTTCTCCTAAGGCTCCGAGGGGGGGGGGAGGGCTGCGTAGCGTCCCCCAGCCCATTCCAGCACACCTCTCGCACGTTTGTTTCGTGGTCCCGCAGTGAGCTCCACCTGCGCCCCAGGGGGGGGGGGGGTCGCCCAGCGCTGGCGCGCCCCTCACACGTTCCGTGGTCCCACAAGGATCTCTACCTGAGGCCCCGGGGGGAGGGGAGGTCGCATAGCGTCCCCCCCCCCTCAGCGTATCCCGGCACACCGCTCACACGCTTCCCGTGGTCCCACGGGGAGCTTCCCCGAAGGCCTCAGCCGGGGGGGGGGGGGGGGCTGCACGCGTCTGCCGGCCCTCACCGCACACCCATCCCCTTCCGCGTGGTCCCACAGGGAGCTCCACCCGAGGCCCCAGAGGGTGCATCCAGATGCGGCTCCCCGTCGATTTCGGCACACCCCTGACACGCTCCGTGTTCCCATAGGGAGCTCTACAGAAGGCACTAGCGTGCGCGTCCACACGCGGCTCCCTGCCCATGTCGGCGCACCCCTCACACGTTTCGCGGCCCCATAGGGGAGGCCCACCTCGGTGCACCAGTGGGTGTGTCCACATGAGGTTGCCCGTCCATCCCGGCACACCCCTCACATGCGTATTGGCCGCACAGGGAGCTTCCCCTTGCGGCTCCCCGCCCATTCCGGCGTGCCCCCACACGTTTCGTGACCCCAGCCAGGGCCCCAGTGTGTGCGTCCACATGCGGCTCCCCACCCATTGTGGTGCACCCCTCACACGTTCCGTGGCCCCATTGGCGCTCCACCTGAGGCCCCAGTGGGTGCGTCTACCGCGGTTGCCCGCCTTCATTCTAGCGCACGCCTTACACGTTTCGTCCACCGTGGGTCCGTTCACATGCGGCTCGGCATCCCCCTCACACGTTTCATGCCCCGATCGGGAGATCTCCCTCAGTCGTCCCACGGACCTTGCGGTGCTCACACTTGCATCTGGTTGGGCCCCTCGCCAGGATACTTCGATATCCTTGAAAAGGCTTCCTGTTAGACATCGAGGCAGCAGGCTCCGAAGCATACTCCTATTTGAGGAGCGCGCAGGACGGCGATACGTGAAAACTATGTCCCTTCGTCCGTCAGGGTTCCCCCCTTTCAGCTCATTCCAGCGCTTCACATTATGATCATGCCCCCCTGTTTCTTCGGAGTACGTCCCCAGACTGACAAAAGGATGTCATGCGTGACGTCTGAGATTGCTGTGGGGTGGCTCCAGATGGCTTGAAAGATACGGTAATATTCACAGAACAACGAAAACACGTTCTCGAGAGCCACGGTTTGGCGCTACTGTATGCACACAGCCTGGTTGTTGGCATTGTACCTCAGTCTGTCGCTGTAAGCGAGCGTTCCATCGGCAGTATAGCGGGCCACGACGCATCAACATACAGGATTCGATTACTTGGTCACTTAACTCTCTGTTTCCGCACTTGTACCCTCTAGGTATGTATGACGTCTTGATGTTCTGTGTGGGATCGTGTATCAGGTGGCCTGAGACTATTACGCTTCAAGAGTTGCACCTGATACCCAATCGAGTTCCAGCATTGATCAGTAGCTCTTGCGAACTCGAAGCTGTCCCAGCTGAGTGCTGACATTCGGCATGTCTGTGACAACCGCTACACTATGGTCAGGCTCTGGATTCTTGTCAAGACGCCCAATTTGAATGAGACTCCGGCGAAGAGTATCGGGACCGTAACCTCGCTCCTTAGAATTGAGCCTACATGGAGGCACTGGCGGAAATCTCTGCCGATCTGCGTCAGTCTCGTGGTGCCGTAGCCAGCGCTTTGGGGGAGCGCGCAAGTTTCAGAAAGACCTGGGACCTCAGAGGGGTATTACACCCTCTCGATCCCGGCTTCCCCCTCATCTCAAGCGCTGCCGACGCCGAGAATGTACAGTGGATACCCATGCCATGAAACACCCTGCTTGCCTCCAGGGTGCCCTGGGTTTCTCGGGGTTCAATGGTTTTGCTGTTGAAAGCGCGACCTTCCCACAGCAAAGATCAGCGGACGCCCTGGGGTCTCAGGGTAGGATTCTTGTAGAAGGTCTCTTGTGGTCGGGCCCCTGCTGTGTTCTCGCGCGCGTGCACGTGCTCGTTCGGCATGGGGCAGGACTCCGAGACCGCCCTTGATAAGTTGCGGCGGCGCGCCGAGGAGGGGAAGCACGAGGGAGGGAGCTTCTCAGACGTCGGCGTCTTCGGAGAAGGCTTGAGTCGGGCGTGTTCTTCTACAGGAGGAGTATTAACAAATAGTCAACAATGGTCTTCTTTTAGTTTTGGATTATGTGCTAATATGTTTGACAATGCTTTATCTGTCGCCCAAAATCCGCCTGTAGGGGCACATGCCCGACCTAAGAGAAGGCTTCGAACGCTTCTCAGAAGGCCGGAGTCCTTCTGTCATCAGA